TGGAAATTTCTCGTGTCTGAAATCTTTTGGAGCCATATGAAAATGGGATGCACAAATAAGACTCCCTTTCCTTCCAGACAGCTTTAACTTGCATTAGCAGTATTTAATCAGCAATTCACTGCTGACCTTGGCTGCATTACAAGGAGGTATTTGCACAAGGATGGAAAGATTTTAAACAATTTATCCAGTGCGCTGGATGCAAACAGGCTTTTCTTTAAACACCATGCATGCAAGTCCTTAGGCCAGTTAATTTTTTGTTAAGGAAAGGAAAGTACTGTGTTTCTTTCCTGTTGAATAGGAACTCAGGCTTCAAACAGAGAATAACTTCAGAGCAAGGATTGAATGGAGACCAGAGGAGGGCTATTGCTTTCAAGAAGCCATTAATAAGAGATAATGTTATTAGAGGTGAAGCTCTAAATACATTTTCACCATGCCAACTTGGGTGGCTGAGTGTTGACACTAAATGTTGACATTTTTCCAGACTTTGCCAGCAAGAAGCCCGTTAGCCACACTGTGCCAGCAACTGCTGCCCCTCTCACAGAAGCAGCTCCTGCAAGGCAAAGGCAGGCACACAAAGACCTGGAGAAAGCCACTTCCAGCCTGGCTTTGATTCAATGATTTAAAAGCTCAGGGTCTTGCTGGTATTTCATTAATAGGGAACACCAGCAAAGTGTGTATAGTTCTTGCACCTTACAAAGACTAATAAAGGTAATTTGCTGGCCCATCCACAAAGCTCCTGCTGCCTTCAGCAGGACTTTTCCCATATGTAATAAAAGCCTGACCTACCCTGTTTGGCACGGAGATCTGTCTGGACATGCCATGGTGAAGGATCACACAGATACTGTGAAATGAAGCACCAGAAGGAGCAGATCTGCAGCAAGCCAACACTGGAGCCAAGGAAACAACAACTCTGAGCAAGCCAACCACAAAGCCCAAGGTGCTCCATTTCATAAGTCAGCAGCACCACAGACGGTGCCAGCCGTGCTCCACTCTCCCTTCTGGCTCTCCTCCCCATCCCTCTGCACAACTCCCAAGGCGTGGCCTTCCTGCTTTTCCATCATTTGGCCACTTCAGTAGCCTCCTCCTAAAGAGCACATAAACCTGCCAATTACAGTTCTGTGGCTGCAGGTAGCTGTTAGTGAAAAAAAGGCAACAAGGAATTTAAATCTTGAGGCACAGATGCTTTAACACAGTTGTTTATTATGACAGTGAAATATTCAAACAAAACCACCAACTTTTTATGGAAACAATAAAAGTGCAAATGTACTTTGGAATTAAATAGGAAATGAATTTATAACGTTTCATTAAAATGGGCTGACACTTTGAGCCTATAAACACTTAAAAAACCAAAACAATAGCAGCTGAACACTTCAGTTTCCTCTTTGGTCTTATGATTAACCAGCAAAAAATAGTTGTACCAGGAATGTCCATTACGATAAGATACTTAAAATTTACATTACTCTGCAGAGATTCGAAATCAGGAATGTTTGCAAGATATTTGGTCAGATAAAATATAATGCCTTTGAGAAACAGAGAGCATTTTTCAACACAAAATGAAATTACATGTACGAATTTTGGTAGTGTAAATTAACTTATTCTCTTGCAGGTGTGACTCCTCTTCCCAATCAACATTGAATAAAAACAAATTCACTTGCACAGTCTTTGCAAAATTAGGTTGCAGGTAAGAGAACCAAGAGCCTGTGTTAGTGCTAAATAACAGGCTCCTTTTTCTGTGTTTGTGTTTCTATTTACACACACACAGGCAACACTACTGAATCCATGGCACATTTTAACAGCTACAGCCTTAACAAACAGGTAAGCACAACCTTGCTGTGTATCCATGGGCTGGGAGAGGAGGAAGAAGGCAAAAGGGCCACAGGATTACTCATTTGGGTCAAGCTCTCTGTACACCTCCCTGGAGATAAGGCCCTGAAACAGCTCCAGCACACAGCAGGCACCAGTGCTGTCATGTTTCTGTGGAATAAGATGAATGCTGTAACAGAAACCCAACTTCTGTCAGCTCCTTTCATCAATCCTACTCATGAATGCATGCTTTAGAGCAGATAAGGGGAATACATTTAATATCTCAGTTGTACACTGAGCCACCAAGTGCACACACGTTGGCTCATGGCAGGATTGCCCCCTCACTTCAAGAAGGCTCACCTAAGCTTAAGGTGCAAGCCAACACATGCATTTTCTCCATCATGAACTCAAAGCATGCCTTCTGAGCAAAAACTCACACTGGAGATCTACTTGCATAGCTAATGAACTATTAATGAACTATTATGGTTCATTAAACCATAGTTTATGTGAGGGTGTGCCTCACTTTTTACCCTGATGGACTCAACTGCTTTGGAAATATTGTCAAAATAAAACCCACTTAAATCTCTTTACCCTACACTCCAAATCCACTTGTTTTTAATAGTTCTCCAATTTTACCCCACGTCCTTTGGCTTGTTTGCAGTGCATCTTCACTGAGAGTTTACCATCATTGTCACTCACCCCTCAGCCCAACTTTCATTTTCTAAACTATTTACATTCTCCACCATCTCTTCTTGTCATGTCTTTTCCAATGCAACTCCCTTCTCCTGTTCCATGTATTGTGGCCATACTAAACAAATGCACACCCCTGTCCAGGGAAAAGATCCAGTGATGCAGTGATACAAACAGACAGACAGCTGACTGAAGTGATCATGATGCCAGAATTAACAGCTCAAGGATTTTCATGTCAAGAGTTCAGGCAGCCACAAGACCCTGGGCTGGCCATCTAGTTCTTCTTTGGGCAAAAGATTCAATGGCTTTGATTGCAGAACTGAATCTTATTTTAAATACCAAGAAACACAAGCCTGCAAAAATAGTACATATCATGGTCTGCTACAAAAAAAAACCCAACAACCCAGAATGTAGCTGACTTAGTCTTAAATACCATGTGCAAAGAACATTTGATCAATTCTACCTATAAATACACTATTTGTATTTGTAGAAAGAAGCACAGGGCTTCGAATACAAAAATAACCCAGCTTGTGGGTGTGACCTATGCCATAATTACCTGAAAATACGACTGCAAGAGCAGTTAAAGAAATAGACAGAAGTAGGCAAACATCTGCCTAGGGAGTGTTTCCATTTAGAAAAATAGATTTGTATAAAGCTTCATAGATTCTGACAATGTTTGTTTCATGTTCTGATGCACAGAACTGTGAGTAAGGCACACCCAATCCATCAGGAAGAGGAAGAGCAGGTTAGTTACTTCAGGCTATCCTAAAGCTTCCCAGAAGTTACCCTTGGTCCTTCACAATTTGGGAGTGCTCTCTCAGGACAAGCACTGCAGGTAATAAGGCACATGCTTAGCTTCCTGAGCACCAGCAATTCAGCAACACGTTTTGGGACTTAATACATCAAATGCTTGAGCAGGTGACCAAAAAAAGTAAGGATTTGAATTTCTGAATTTTTTGACACCCTGGTACACCTGCACTGTAAGGACACTTGCAAACCTGGCTGCATCACAACTCACCAGGCTATTCCAGCAACTGGGACATAACCAGATAAAAAGTGGCAATTATCTGCCTGATATTTATACTCAGAGGGCATCACAATCTGTAGCCCAGGACTGCTACTGTACCACGAATCAGTGCTAAATAATTCTGAAGTACCCTGAAATATTTTACTTTCTTCTCCCCATAAAAAAATAACAATTTTCTATAATGCAGCACTAGAAAATCCCATCAAGGTTATTTGGTTCAAACACTGACACAATCAAGACAACTGGTTAGGCAGTTATCCAAAAATCCTACCAAACTCCTACCAGGGAGCAGGAGGGTGCCACAGTCAACTTATGGCACTGAGATTTGGACTGGTTCAAAGTTTGTTCCAAAATATAATAAAGAATTTCTTATTTTGTTGTTGGTCCTTGAGGTAAAGCATATTCTAAGGAAATAATACTTGAATACAGAAACAAATAATAAAACTCAACTAGAACCCACAAACAAATGAACCTCAGAGTATTTCTTTTAAAAGGTTTTCCTTGGAATAATTCAACCACCACTCTAACAAAACACTAATGCCTCCTCAATAGCAATATTTAGTGCAGCCAATTATCCTAAAAATAAGGCCTTTGTGAAAATAAAGTGCTATTTGTTTCCTTCTATCTGCACTTCAATCCTTCAGTATAACCTTCACTTGAACACAAATGTAAAACTAGATTCTTCATCCTGTCATCAGAGCAGTTTCACTTCTTCCCTCAAGTTTACATAACATGTGTTACATTACTATTTAGCACAATGTGCTCGATTACCCAGGAAATTTAAAGCATGGCATTGAGCATTTCAAACTGTGATCCACACCCATGCTCTAGTGCTTATCACATTTTAGGAACATCTTGGTACATTGATGGATGGGGGATGTGCTGTTTGCACTTGGAAGATTTTTAAATCCCACATGGATTTTGCATCATAAAAAGAAAATCTCAGAAAAAGCTCTATTTTGCCACTAAGACAAGAAGTTAACATGGATTTCTAAAAATGTCAGTTTGAGCCTTTTAGTTTGCAAACGTTCGACCAAAGGCAACACTTGAGGACTAAGGCATTTCCCCAGAAATGTCAGAATTTCCCCACGTAAAACCACTGAGAATGAAAACCACAATTTCAGTAAGTCTTGGCCCCCTCTTCTCTGGTCAGGAACAGAACCACAGAAGCACAATTCATCAGTCCCACCATCCCAGGCAGATGCAGGCTCTTGAAGCATCAGCGAGCTGGGAGTGTGCAATGGAGAGTCCCAGGTGCCAGCAGCTCTCCCAGCACCAGTGAGTCTGGAGTGTGCAATGGAGAGTCCCGGGTGCCAGCAGCTCTCCCAGCATCAGCGAGTCTGGAGTGTGCAATGGAGAGTCCCGGGTGCCAGCAGCTCTCCCAGCATCAGCGAGTCTGGAGTGTGCAATGGAGAGTCCCAGGTGCCAGCAGCTCTCCCAGCACAGCGAGTCTGGAGTGTGCAATGGAGAGTCCGGGGTGCCAGCAGCTCTCCCAGCACCAGGGAGCCAGGAGTGTGCAATGGAGAGTCCCGGGTGCCAGCAGCTCTCCCAGCACCAGCGAGTCTGGAGTGTGCAATGGAGAGTCCGGGGTGCCAGCAGCTCTCCCAGCACCAGGGAGCCAGGAGTGTGCAATGGAGAGTCCCGGGTGCCAGCAGCTCTCCCAGCATCAGCGAGTCTGGAGTGTGCAATGGAGAGTCCCAGGTGCCAGCAGCTCTCCCAGCACCAGGGAGCCAGGAGTGTGCAATGGAGAGTCCGGGGTGCCAGCAGCTCTCCCAGCACCAGGGAGCCAGGAGTGTGCAATGGAGAGTCCCGGGTGCCAGCAGCTCTCCCAGCACCAGCGAGTCTGGAGTGTGCAATGGAGAGTCCCGGGTGCCAGCAGCTCTCCCAGCACCAGCGAGTCTGGAGTGTGCAATGGAGAGTCCCGGGTGCCAGCAGCTCTCCCAGCTCACTCTCCTGCGGGCAGCTCCCGCTTGGCCTCAGCGCTGTGGCGGCACGGGGTGGGCACCGGGCGCCAGTACCGGGGGCTGCTGTACATCCTGATGATGTGCGGGGCCTGGACCCATGTGCTGATCAGCTGGAAGGCCACGAGGTCCAGCGTGGGCCCGTCAAAAGCAGACAGCAAGTTCACGGGGGCGGCTTCCTTGAGGAACCGGGGCAGCGCCACGGCCTCGGGGAGGCCGGTGTTGCCCAGGAAGAAATCCATCAGCACCTGCTTGCGCAGGCAGTCCCTGAGGTACAGCACCAGGTCCTCCAGCCGCTCCACCAGGAACTGCTCATCCCAGGCCTCCAAGGGCCCCTGCAGCAGCAGGGAGAAGAGAGCCGTCTTCAATACGTAGGAGGAGAGCACCCGGCCCCACTGGGAGCAGAAGGGCTCCTCCAGGCCGTGCCCGCGGAGGTCCCGCAGGCCCTTGAGGATCTGCAGGCACTTGAGGTGGCAGGAGGCGGCCGGGGCCTGCTCCTTCAGCCAGCCCAGCAGCCGCTGCTCCTGCCGCGAGGCGTTGAGGCCCCAGAGCGCCTCGGGGACCGGGGAGCCGTGGGGGCCCTCGGGCGGCAGGGCTGTGAGGTAGAGCGCGTCGCCGAGAGGGATGGCTGGGATGAGGCGCACGGCCATGGAGATGTGGCAGCACACGTAGTCGGAGCAGGGCAGGATGTGCAGCGTGGGCGGCTGCCCCGGGCACGCCGAGAGGCTGACGCGGCACCGCTCCTGCAGCCGATAGCGCACGGCTCCCAGGCACCGCTGCAGATGGCCCTGGAACCAGCGCAGCACCAGCCCCGAGGAGAGGTGGCTGCGGCCCTGCAGCTCCACGCAGAAGCCCTCGGCGAAGGGCCGGCAGCGTCGTGTCCAGCCGTCCCTCGCCCGAAGGCCGCAGACGAAGGCGCCGCACGGCCCCAGCCCGTCAGCGCAGCGCGGCTGCGGCTCCAGGTGCGGCGGCAGCCGCAGGGGCACCAGGATGTCGAAGCAGTCGGGGCTGCGCACCTTGTGCTGCTCGTAGGCGCTGCCGATGCGCACGAAGTCCCCGCGCAGGCTGAGAGCCAGCGGGCCGGGCTGCAGCCCCTGCGCCTTGGCGGCGCGCACCAGCTCGGCCACCACCCGCCCCACGTGCGCCTTGCTGTGCCCCAGCACGTGCGGCGACACCCGCAGCTGCCGCGCGTGGAACCGCTCCAGGGCTCCGCGCCGCGCCCCCGCCGCGCCCCGCGCCCCGCCGCGCCCGGGGCCGCCGCCCGCCGCGCCGTAGCAGCGGGCGAGCAGGCAGCCGAGCAGCAGCAGCGCCGAGCCCTTCAGTAGCGGCAGCCCGGACCCCGCCGCCTCCGCCGCCGCGTCCTCCGGGCCCCCCGCGCCCTCGCCGGCTGCGCTGCCGCGCAGCGCCTGGTAGAGGCAGAGGAGCGCGGTGCAGAGCGCGGTCAGCAGCGGCCAGAAGCCCCGCACGCGGAGGGGGGACACGGGCAGGGCGCGGCGGGGGCTCGGGCCGCGGGGGGAGCCGCCGCCGCCGCCCGGCCCCGCGGGCGGGGAGCGCCCGCCCCCGCCGGCCCCCTCCTCCGCCGCCCCGGCCGCCCCCAGCGCGGGCCCCGCCGCTGCCCCTCGCCCGCCGCGCCCCTGCCTGCCCCGGCCGCCGCTCCGCTCCGCTCCGCTCCGCCGGCTTCCTCTTCCGAGGGACGCGGCCCCGCGTCAGCCGCCGGCTGAGCTCAGAGGAAATGCCGCGGGCGGCGGCCCGAGGGCCGGGGGCGTTGTCCGACGGGGGCCGGCCCGGGGCGGGGAGCGGCGCCGCCCGCGAGGTCGCGGTTTCCCGATTTCGCGATCTCCCGCTTCCCCGATCTCCCGCTTTCCCGCCTTCTCGCCCGGGCGGGCAGAGCCCCCCGCAGCCCTGCCCGTGCTGGCCCCGAAAGAGGAGCGAGAATCGAGTTCCGTGCCCCCCTCACTGCAACAGCGTCCTGCGGCGTGGTTTAGTGTGAAGCTGCGAGTTCTGTACCCCCACAGGAGGGGACGGCGGTGTGGTGTCACAAGCTCCACGTTGCACGTTTTTCCTCAAAGAAGTCCTACAGGCCTGGCCCACTGCAGGCGAGTCCATCCAGTTCCCAGCTCTGCCTGAGAGTCTCGGTGCCAAAGGAGCAGCAAACCCATCAGTGCCAGTGCACCAGGGTGTGGACGGGCTGCTGCCGGACTAACAGCTGCCTGCAGTCGTAGAATCATTCAAAAGCCTTGGGTTTTTTACCTTGTACCCAAATCACTAACAAATTAATAGAGAAGAAATAACCCTGGGGGTTAAATCTACACAGATACTTGAGATGATTTTTAAACACAGTTTGCTGTTAAACTGTCTCAAATATTGATGGGGACAGGGTCATCATCCTCAACTTCTGTTTGCCTAATAAATATTTACAGAGTTTTGAAGCTGTTTGCTGAAGTTTAAGGACCATCTATGTAAGCATTCTGCTCAGTTTAATTTTGGGTGATAAAGTTCCTGCTGCCACATCTGCCCAGTGCCATGGGTGGCTCCACGTAGGTGAAAAGCAGTGCTTGAACACAAGAGACTGAACCCAGCAAGCTGCAAATGCTGTAACAAGGAATGGGTCAGAGAACCAAGAGATATGCCATACAAATGTTGGCTATGTAATTGTGTTTATATGGAACAAAATATGACTTTAGGTACATAAAAATCATACCTGACAGGAAGTAGCATATGTTGCATAGCCAAGATGCTGCACACAAAGGCAAACCAGGTAACCAAGGTCAAGCAGTCTGAATTAATTCACAGGTAACCAGCGTAGGGTGAGAGTTAAGAGTACACTTGAGTGATACAAAGAGAAGTCCTAATCACTCCAACTCTGAGTCTTGGAGTTACAATCAAGAGATTGAAGATTTTTGAAATTAAAAATAAAGCAGATGTAAAGGCAAGAAACCACAGGCAATTTTATAACATCTCAGCCAGCAAAATATTCCATGTCCTACAACCAAAAGCATGTTTTCTGACAGCTCCAGCCAGCTAAGCCCATAGCCTTGCTACTCAGAAATATCATCCCACAACAGCCATATCTTGCAAAGAAAACCCAGGAAATGAAAAGCATCTTTCTTTCCCATTCCTTTTTTCATGTTTTCCTATATTTCTTCACAAGGCTGAATGAGGGGACAAAACCATCCATTGTTCTGCTATTGCCTGTGACCCATCACTTCACTTTGTCCTGCACCCCCAAACCTCCAAACTGTTTAAATAACACAGCTGTCCTGGTATTAAACCAATCCTTCAAGATGTTTTATTGGAAAATATTGGCTCATACATTCAATTTTTACTAGCCTGTGGGGTTTTTTTCACCCCCAAGCCCAGCATGTTTCACATGCCTTTGGGCCTTGCTGTGGGAACACTGATTTTTGAAGACAGGCTGCACTCTCTTTTCATGCAGGGCTGATTTGATTAGCTGCACAGCCACGCTCAGGAGACAGACAGCTGCATCTGCAGGGGCTGGCACAGCCCTTCATGCCTGCTGCCCACGGGGGACCTGGAGCTCACCAGCACAGTGGGGCATCTGCACAGGGCAGTGCTGCAGCTTCCCGGGCAGCTGTGGGCCCACGGGCTGGGGGAAATGCAGATGTCAGCCCAGCCAGTGGCCCAGCCCCGGGGCCAGCTGGCCAAGAGCTGTGACCAGCCACACCAGGCCTGGCAGTGCACACACACGTGCCTCTACATGCCCAGGTGGTGCTGGGGCAGACTCTCCCAGGCTGCAGAGTAACAGATTGAATGCTAATTATGTGACCTTAACATCAGAACCAGAGTGAATCCACAGCACTGATTTTTACCACTGCTGTTTAAATCAAATTAGTCCTTTCCTCCTCGGCCAGAGGCAAGATGAAATCTGTAGAGCCTTGGGCTGATGAAAGATGGCCAGTGGCCTGTTTTCTGGGACCTTGGCTGCTTCATGACTCCCGGAGCACAGGGTGAGTCTCTGGGAAAATTGCTGAGTACGTCCCAGAGGTGCTCAGCTTTATGAAGTTTTTAATAGCAATTGCGTACTCAAGAAAAATAATAGGTTGTACACTAATAAACATGACCTCAAAATTGTGACCAGAGAGAATTCATAACATTAATTTTTACTACCATTGTTTAAATCACCCATTGTTTAAATCTGTTATCTAAACACTCACTCCAGAATGTCCCATATACAGGATATCCTGCTCACTAAATAAGGAATAATGTTATTATTTAACAAGTTGAGCTAAAAATAGCTCATGGTAGCTCTGGGGGAGATTTGCAGAGGTAAAAGAAAGCAGTGGGTCAGAGCATCCATTAAAGTTTCTCCACAGCTGGCAGTATTTCATGCATCTGTGTGACTGATCTGCTCATGCTCCAGTACACCAGCCACTGTCAGAGACAGGGGCAGAGCACAGCACCTGAGGAGACAGAAGGGAGTAGAAGGACAGAAGGCACAAACAGGTGATGATATTTGACTGATGCTTTTATGATTTACCTGAGACACAAGCCTGAGGCTTCCTCCCAGCTATCCCAGGTCAGTATCTGCCCTGCTGAACCAGAGCTGCACAGTCTATGCAGGTGCAGGGGGAAGTCTCTGGGGATCCCTTCCTGCACCAGTGCTGTGCAGCTGCTTTTCTCCATCTTCTCATAATGCACTATTAAACAGTCCATAGCAGAAAAGTACAATGACTGATGGCAAAAAAATACAAGTCTGAATGGTTGGTCACTTGGCTTCATGTCCCAGTAATTACTCTTCTAATTGTTTCCTCTCAAAGCAAAGCTACCAGCACATATCTCCCACAGCCCTCTGGATGGGCCAGCCAAGGAGATGCCATGATCAAAATAAATATCCTTTGCCTGCCATTCCTCTGACTCCCAGATTTTATGGGATACTATTAACTACAATACAAAGCAACAGCATCAGACAGACATAAATCCAGTTTTTATTGTGGACTAATGGATCTCTGCCAGTCACAGCAGCAGGGGATGGGAAAACAGGAGAGGGTGTCTTGCTACCACAAACAGCTGAGGGAGCCAGACCTCCAGAGCACTACATGGACATGAAGGAGTTTAGGGTGTAACTGCACATTCTCTCTTAAAATATTTTGTTTACTGAGTCGGATGTGCTTGCCACCTCTGCCAGTCTGTTTGCTCACTAACTATCAGCAGGGTGTAGCACTTCTTAATCTGAGAGCCTGCAAGCAGACTGGGCTGCTGTAAACCACACACAGCCCAATACAGGATTTCCTTTCTGTAGAAGGATGGTTTCCTGAGTAATTCATACAACAATATCTTGTCCAAGCCTGTCCTTATCAAAAACAGCAATACCCTGGCTCTATGCTGGTGATCAGTACATTTCCAGTTTATCCTGTATCATTTGAAAATCATCAAGGATTACTTTTTTGCATAGAAACTTGTTTGAGCAGGGCATTTAGACTTACCCACTACCTGACATTCAGGAAGACATGCCTGTGTGTTTGCAGCTAAGGAATGAACCAGGAATGAAACCCCCAGCCCATCTGCATCAGTGTCATTGGCACCCTGAGTTCTGTCTGATGGGCTGTGAATCTGGGACTCTGCTTTCCGATTCTCCATGAAGCTTAGGCGGCTCATGTGAAGAATTCCAACTACAGCATCATGAAAAGGAAACATCTTTCAGCAGGGAGAGTGCAAGTACACAACCATCATGCAGAAGGGTTATCAGCAGTGATGGGGAATGCTTCCTACATGGAAAATGGAAACACAAACACTCCAGGTCGAGACTGTAAGTCTTGCACTTTAAGTTCAATTTTGATGTAATCCACATATGAATGACAGCAGTCACAGCTTCCAGTGCTGTATCTAAACACTCCAGCCAACTCCTGCTAACCCTCCCAGGGCAGCAGAGGAGGTGATCACGCTGTGCTAGTGACAGGGCCCCAGAGTGTCACCTTCCATGCAGGAGCCTCCTCAGCCCTTCCCTTTCCCTGTCACCCCCAGGGCTCAGCAGATGTTGTGGGTCTGAGGGTCCCCACTGTGGAATCCCCAGGTTTAAGAGGCATCAGATAGAGCCAAACCTTGTGCATGCTTGTGTTGAAATAGTTTAACAAAAAACAGTTTAGTACAGATTTAATAAACTTGGATGCATTTGAGTGTGTTCAAATGTGAATTTAATCACTGACTGAAAAAGTTTGGTTTAATTAATGGAAAGTAACTGAAATGTGCATTTGCACCATAACTTGCTTAACTAATAAAAAATGATCGCATAGCTGAGCCCTAATTTATTGATTAAAGCAGAGTATTTTAAATGAGCATTTTAGCAGTTTCATTATACCAGTTTTTGGGTTGTGCCATTTCTGTTTTTCACAACCAGCACAAGGCAGCTGGAGAAGAGACACCAGGCTTGTCCCACAGCTCTGTGCTGGTTTCAGCAGGGCTGTGTCAGTGTCACTGGTGGCTTTCAAAGAGCAGCAAAGCAGCAGCAGCTGCCCCATCCCCTCCAGTGACTGTCATTTCT